ACAAAAAGACTCAATTGTATGACACTGTTTATGTAACTGTCAGGTTAAGCAATGAGAAAAAACGTTTTTAATGCAGTAATTGTAGATAGACTTCCAGAGAAAATATCTACAGTAGGACTTAGTGAAGCTACAGAAAGACTCTCACATAATGTAAATTTAGCACCTTCTGGTGTAAGTGATGATTCTGTAGGCCCAATAAATATTTTGATAGGTAGTGCTATTATGCCTCCTCTGTAAAGGGTATGGGAAAGAATGTGGTGTCACCCTTTTGAAAGACTGCTGGAGGCATGTAATGTATGGTAGGATTCCTTGTAATAATGATTCATGACTAGAGGAAACTACAAATACCATAACTGTGTGTCTTACTCATGAAGTTGTACCCCAGTATAATTTTTCCATAGAGGATGGTGTTTAGCCAGTGCATAAAATTTTGGGAATTAGACAGCATTGGAAAAAATGTAAATAAAGAAAGTCCAGACGAAATTTTTTTTTACTCAGGAGCAGTACCTGAAAGATGTAAAATTTTTAATCTGGGCAATATGGGTACGACTTCCGTGGAGACTGAACCATCCAGATTGCCCACTAATTACAGAATGGCATATGGGCAGTTAAAAGCTCAGCTCCGCGAACTGAGTAAGACACCAGAATTGTTAACTGCCTATAATGATTAAGTGCTGAGCAGTTAATTAATAAATTTATAGAAAAAGGTACCTCCTGAGCAAGCCAAAATTTATGGTCACTATTTGCCACATCACGGAGTGAAGAAGGATTCTAAGACCACTCCTCTGAGAATTGTGTTTAATCGTAGTGCCAGGAGTAAAAAAAAATGTACCTAGTTTAAATGACTGTTTGATGACAGGTCCGTCGTTGACGGAAAAATTAGGAGATATCTTATTAAATTTCAGAGTAAAGAATTATACCTTTACGGCTGACATAAGTAAAGCCTTCCTAAGAGTGGGTTTACAAGAGGCTGACCGGGATTGTACCCGCTTCTTATGGCCTGAGAATCCTATTGACCCACTTTGCCCTCTGAAAACCTTTCGCTTTTGGAGCTATTATTGGTGCTACATCCAGTCGTTCCTACTCAACGCGATAAAAGCACACCTTTAAATGTACGGAAATCCATTGAGTTAAAGTATGAGCAAAAAATTTTATGTGGACAATTTCCTGGGTGTGAGTCCCAAATGAAGAGGAACGTTAATGATTATGGAGAGGCTAATAAAATAATGCAAAGTGCACATATGCTTCCCGAGGGAATGGAATAGTAATTCGTCTAAATTGAAGGACAAAACAAGTAAAGATTACCCTGGAGATGAAGTGCCAAAATGTAGTAATGTATTGAGTTTAACTTGGGATACTGAGAGAGATTTGTTAATGCTAAAACCTAATAATTGCAGTATGCCCAATAAATAACTAAGAGATTTTTGCTTGCTGAAGTTTCCAAATGTTTTGATCCACTAGGTTTAGTGTCACCCCTTACTATAAGAGGGAAATTATTAATTCAGGAAGCATGGAAGCTTAAATGTGCTTGGGATGAAATTCTACCGAGGAATTCATTAACAGGTGGGATGAATTAATTGGTGATTATGAAAAATTCCAATGTTGGAGTTCCCACGCCAGGTGGCCAATCTAAATGGGAAAAATGTATCCACATTTTTGTGATGCTTTAAAATTGGATATGGGGCAGTTGCTTTTCCTTCAATGTAATAGTGTTATTTCTCTTGTAATGTCTAAGGCGAAGGGTCTCCAAATTAAAACACGTACCTTAACCCCAGTTGGAATTAACAGCCCTTTATGTAGGTGTCAAATTAAACTAATTATATAAGGAATAAATTGCAGGAGATAAATATTATGACACTGTAATTTGGTCTGATAAATGGGTATCCTTACAATGGATTCGTAATGGAAACAGTAAAATTGTGTACGTACAAAACAGGAGTCGCTGAAATTTATCAGATGCAAGAGAAGTATAATAGTTTGGGTCAGATATGCTAACATTTAATCATATACCTGGTGAGGAGAATCCAGCTGATTTCTTGTCTTGAGGTTTACCTTATGCTAAATTTGTAAATGCTGTTATCATGGTTTTTAAAAGGGCGGAGCTGGTTGGTAAATAAAGCTAATTGGCCTGTACAAAAAAGGGTATATTGCTCCTGTTGAAATTACTGTGACCACCGCTTCAATGTTTGTCCTCCCTTAGCCATTGATATAAATAGGTATTCTTCTTTTTCCCAAACTAATCAATGTAACTAAATTGGTGTTTAAATTTCTAAACAAGATGAATATTTCATATAAGTTTTCAACATCCTCTTGAATATTGGATAAAGAGGGTACAGGAGGAAATCAAAGAAATGAGATTAAATTGATGATGGAAAGAAAAATTGTGAAAGGTTCATAATAGAGAAATTGGGGCTGTATTTAGAGAACAAATGTAATTAGGTGCAGAGGTAGGTTACAAAAAAGCTGAATTGGGTGATTATGCTAAACACCCTATCTTACTGCCCAAAACTCATCATCTAACAAATTTGATTGTTCTAAATGCCCATAAAATGTAATGCCCTGGTGGGGTACAAGATACCTTAAATTGTATTAGGGAAACTTTCTGGATTCCACAAGGATGGCAAAGTGTTTAAAAAAGGGTGATTAAATCTTGTGTAATATGTCGCCGTTTTGGATGCCAGATCCTATATGTACCCAGGCCTCCACCCTTGCCAAAGGAGCGTGTACAATTAGTGAAACCTTTTTATGTAAAAAAGGTGTAGACTATAGTGGTCCATTAATTTTAACAGGTACGTCAAATGGTGTTCCACTGAAAGTGTATGTTTGTTTGTTCACCTGTACTGCTACTAGGGCAGTTCATTTTGAAGTGGCACGGACTTGTCTGCAGAACAGTTTATACAGCTGTTTCGAAAATTTGCGCTAGGAGATCCTGTCCGAGGTTGATGATTTCGGATAATGCCACAAATTTTGTAGAGGTGCTCAACACTTGATATAATTAAATAATAGTAACGATGTTCAATCTCTGTTAACCCAGCGAGGGTTGTACCTGGAAATTTATTACTCCTAGAGCCCCTTGGCAGGGGGGGCTGTACGAAAGACTGATAGACACAGTGAAGAGGGTTCTCCCCAAGTACTACACCGGAAGAGAATTAATTTGGAAGAATTCGTGCAGTGTTAGTGGAGGCAGAAAATCGTATAAAAATAGGCCTCTCTCGTACATAAGTGATACACCTGATGCAGATGTATTAACACCTTCTCACCTAATAAAGTGGAAGGAATTGGAAGCTGCCCCTGTCTAAAAGAGATTTAAACGGAAGAAAGTGATGAAGATTACAATGATGTGGCAGTGTTGTGTAATAAATTTAAAATGTTAAATAAAGTAATTGATCATTGGTCTAATGTGTGGCAAAAAGGAATATCTTCTTACACTACGTGAACACTTTTTTGGTGCGACAGAGGGAGTAAATCGACAGACCATTCAAAACCCGGTGACATTGTGTTAATTGACACTGAACAAAATCGAACATTGTGGCCTCTGGGCCAAAGTTTGACACTGTACCCCGATGCACAAGGTGTTGTCAGAATGTCAAAGTGTTGTGTCATGGCCAGGAAAAGTTTACACACAATTAATAAATTGATTCCCTTGGAATTAGGTGTTCAATCAAACGTAAATGAAAATCTGAGGGAAAGTGACACGAGTGATATGGAAGATAACGCAGACCAAGTGATGCTGGAAGATGAAATCGTAGTAAGACCTACTTTGGGGGAAACCCGTCACTCAGCCAGAACTGGCTGGAATCATCTCCTAAAGGAAGGAGTAATTTGAATCGTTTAGCAACGAACTCCGGCCGGCCGCAGTGTGGAAAATACTGTATATATTTTCCAGAAATTCAGTATTTATATGTAAATAGATGGCCATACTGTATTTAATAATATTTATATCATAGAAAGCCTGCATCTGTGCAGACGAGACTCACCATCTTGGTTTTGAATTGGATACAATGTTAGTGTAATGGGAAGGAATTTTCGTGCTCTAGAGGTTAAAATTGGGCTGACACCTCTCAAATAGGAGGCGAAATTGTTGGACATGCATTTCTGCATAACTTGAGATATCAGACGACTGAACAAGACAGCTCCAGGAACCTCAGATAAGCTCTCTAGATTTGTGTATAATTCTGGCCAGTGTTTTCATAAATTTAGTTAGTGAGGTTTTTCCTGAGTATTGTACAACTTAATATCCAGTCAAATTGGTGAGTGATATTAAGATACATTTTCCTTCTGTTATGTAATTGTGTATATATATAACCATTTATTATTTTTAATATACAGTCCACAAATTTATATATTTACCAGTATTCCTGGTGTATGAATAGGTCCAGAGCAACTTGTGGTTATGACAGTGGTAGGTATCGAAGGGGGACATTTTTTGCGATATAGGTGTCCCAAATTCCTACTTGTCTATGTAACATTGATAAATAATAATTATCTTTGTTATCATTTACTGTTATGTACATAGTTACATTCAGATTAATGCAATTTTCCACACTTACCTCAGGGTATTTGACTCCTACTAACTGCGACTCTGAGTACGGGCTCTTAAGAAGTGTTACACCACCCTTCTAGTAACCAACTGATGGTATAACTTAATCATAATTCATCATACAAATTCTAGGTTCTAAATTACTAGCATAAGTTTTCGGCACTTCGAGTGCATGTTTGTCTCAGTCTTACCGATGCACAGAAACTCACATTTCACGGAAGTGTATTGATACACCTTTCTGTGGTTGGATCAAACAACGATCATTGTCTGTTTTTTCATCCTCTTGGAATCTATGGAAATAGTTACAATATTTATTATGGTTTAAGAGGACAAGAGCAACTCTGGGAATGCTTGTGATGAAGGAAGTTCTCGAGAAACACGCCGTCTAGGCTTTCAGTTGGTGACCGCTGTTAATATTTCCCTCAAGTATTGATTTTGATATATGGCATTTTATTTCCAGCAATCCTCCCCCAAGGCCAATTCATCATTAACAGAGTGACGAACAACGTTGTATATAATATGGCTACGACTGTTTATCCTGGGCTGTTGTCATCAACGGCGTACGTCCTGATTAAATTTTCTTGGTGTAACGGACAACTCAGGTGAGATGTTGTATGTAGCACAAAATTACTTGAAAATTTACTTGTATTTCCCCTATAATATATAAATTATAGATCTTAATGGTGTCGTGTCATCGTCGTGAGGTAAGTGGAACATACGAGTACATGGGAAACAGTAGAGGACTTTGGAGGAAACACAGATGCTATCTGATGAGAACTAACTATTTCTATCTAGGTTAGGGACTATCAGAGGTGTGTGTGTACTAGTGGGTCTACTCCTAATTATCTCTAGACCTTTTTCAAGATACTGTGGCTCTGATGAATGAATACTATTGCTATGATTTACACAACCATCCATTCCTACCACTCCGGCCTTCTGAGCTAGTGTGTCCACCACTGCTCTGTTGCCCTCTTCATATTCCTCTCTTGGCCTACTGTAATTCTGCGGCGGGTTGTACATCACTGCAATGACTGTCTAATGTCCCCCAGACTGATTTGCACCCATTTCGTCTATTCTCTCCATTTCTTCAAATCCCGATTGATTTTTAACGAGCAGTGCAACTCCTCCTTCCCCTCTGCTCCCTCTATCTTTCCTCAGGATCTGATATCCGGGTGGAAAGATTGTGTTTGTTACCATCCCAGTGAGTTTCGTTTCTGTGAGTGTTATAATGTCTGGGAAAGTCTCTTTGATTCTTTCACGCCATTCCTAACATTTATTTGTTATTCCATTTGCATTCACATACCAAACCTTCAACTTCATTTGTAAAACTGTGGTCTGAGGAGAATGTACGGGTTGGGGGAGAGGGAAACCTGGCTGGGAACTATGGGAGGTTGTTGTGGGGGTGGAGTTTGTGATGAAATTAATGGGGGAAGTTTATACAGTGTGTGGGTTTTAGGTTAGATTGTTTAGCTGCATTGAGGCTACTGTTGCTGAGGTCCTTCTGTACGTGGTTATGAGCGAGGTTGAATTTGCTCTTCCTGAGTCTGGGTTCTCCTGCTCATCTCCCTCTTCGCCTCTGTTCCTGCTTGCATCTTTGTACCTTCTCTTTCAGTTTCTGCCTTTCTTTTTGTGTTCTGTCATGGTCAAGGTACACCCTCCTGTATGTCTCTATGTCCCTTAGTCGTGCTTTCTCCTGCAGGATCCTGTTTCGAGACGATTCTGCTTTGAAAATCTTTGTCCTTACCAAGCTTCATAACTTTGCACTTGCTGGGGTTAAACTACAGAAGCCAGTTGTTGGGCCAGGGTTGCATTCTGTCCTGATCCCGTTGTAATCTTACCTGATCCTCGCTTGTGTTCTCTTCATTAGTTTCACATCATCAGCGAACAGGGACATTTCTGATTCTATTCCTTCCATCATATCATTCACATATACAAGAAACAGTACCAAACCTAGGACTGACCTTTGTGGAACCCTAGTTGACACTCTGACAGCTTATCACGTACCAACACTTGTTCTTTCCTTCATGTCAGGTACTCCCTGATCCATTACAGTGTTTTTCATACTATTGTTGGCTGTTCCTCTAGTCTCTCGCGAGGTACTATGTCAAAAGCCTTCTTACAGTCCAAAAAGATGCAATCTACTCATCCCTCTCTCTTCTGTCTTACTTCAGTTACCTTGTCGAAGAATTCAAGTAGATGTGTGACACAGGATTTCCCATCCCTGAAGCCATGCTGATTGTCATGTATGAGCCCAATCCTTGTTAGGGAATTGCTACAAGCTAAGTTAAAGATTAAATAGTGGACTGGAAAGGGACTTACCTTGAAAGACAGCTTTCGCTTACACAGCCGTCCTTGCAGGCGATTTCTTGAGAAGCTGTCATATGCAATCCCTAAGGGCTGAAAAAGAATTATTATTTAAGTTTAATTACCCCTAGAGTGTGTTATGTCAGTAATTTTATTACTGTATACTGACTGTTGATAATACATACTGATTTGGACTCAAAAGTCCACACCTTACTGCCGACTATAGGATGATTTCAAACCCCCTGTGACACAAGAACTGCACAGTCCCTTGTATGACAAGGTGGTTTAAAACCTACCTTGCTCTTGTAGTGTGAACTATGGTGCTGTATACACCATACTCGGCAGGTATTGTTGACTTGATAGAAGCTGAAGTGTCCTTGGATGTTCACGTCTTCCACAGGCTAGGAATACGCACACTGGTACACTATGTTCCACAAGATTTATCTTTCTTGGTAATGTCATTAAAGAAGCTGATCACACTTCTCTGTAAGTGTTTTGATCTGTTCTTTGAGATACTTTCTGCACAAAAACGCGTGGATCAGTGTTCTTTGTTAGTTATCAGAGCATCAATGTGTCCCTTAGGAGGATTATAAGCAATCTAGCCTGTGGCATCTCCGTCATCCCCCAGTTTCCCGACACACAAAAGAAATGTTTGCCAAACTTCCACTATTAAGCAATGCAGAATGCTTGTATCTTGCTGTCTGGGCATAGACAACAATATACACTATCTTTAACATGGTAATAAAGTGGGTGCAGGATTTTCTTTAATTGTCCTGCTAAGGTAAAAGACTGATTGTCTCTCACTTGAACTGCACTATTTGCAACACTGGTCTCTTACAAAGAAGTCGCATGACCCGTAACTGGTACACGCTGGCAATTACTTGCATGTAGCAGTAAACAAGATGCTTGCCACTTCTGAGAAGGCTGGGCCCCTCAGGGCTGAAGGGGGCTCATATCCTCCTCCTGGAGAATTTTCTCCACAATCCGTATGTGCTCCACCACTTTTCTCTTGATACTCTTCTCCATGAATTTATATACTATATATGCCAGTGACACTGGTCTGTACTTTAATGCTGTCTCTTTTCTTAAAAATTGGAACTACATTTGCTGTTTTCCACACCTCAGGCAGTTGCCCTTTTTCAACAGATTTTTTGACAATTACTACTATCGGTACACACAGTTCCTCCCCTCCCTCTCTCAGAGCCCATGGAGAGATGTTATCTGGGTCCACCACCTCTGAGATATCTAATTCACCTTGCAGTTTCTTCACCTCTTCCTTGGTTATGTGTAGTGTGTCCAGCACTTGGTGGTGCACCATACCACCTAGGTTTGCTGGAAGCATTTCTGTTTCGACTGTGAACATTTCTCTAAATCTTGTGCTAAGCTCATCACATACTTCCTGATCACTCTTTGTGGGCTTTACTTACTTCCTCAACCTGATTACCTGCTTCTTGACTGTTGTTTTTTCTCCTGATGTGAATGTACAACATCTTTGGGTCAGATTTGTTTTTTATGCACTGGGCCTCTTTCCTTATCTATGCATATTCATTTGTGGTTCTTCTGCTGAATTCCTTGTTTTCTTAAGTCTTATTGACTGTCTGTCCCAACTACTGGACCACTATGATAAGGTCCTGGATGCTCTAGAAGACAAACAAAATGCAGATGTAACACACAAACTTTGCAAAAGACTTTGACAAGTGTGACCATGGTGTAATAGCACACAAAATGCATGATAAAGGAATAACAGGAAAAGTTGGTAGATGGATCTATAATTTCCTAACAACAGAACACAAAGAGTAATGGTAAACAGAGTAAAGTCTGAGGCGGTTACAGTGAAAAGCTCTGTTCCACAAGGCACAGTACTCGCTCCAATCTCGTTCCTCGTCCTTATATCTGACATAGGGATGTAAGCCACAGCTCCATGTCTCCCTTGCAGATGACACCCGAATTTACATGACAGTGTCCTCCATTCAAATCACCGCAAAACTCCAGCCGGACATCAAATTCCAACCACACAATAGAGCGAAAAACAAATGTGAAAGACCTGGGAGTCATCATGTCAGAGGATCTCACCTTCAAAGACCATAATATTGTATTAGTCGCATCTGCTAGAAAAATGACAGGATGCATAATGTGAACCTTTAAAACTAGGGATGCCAAGCCCATGATGGCACTCTTCAGGTCGCTTGTTCTATCTAGGTGGGAATATTGCTGCACGCTAACAGCACCTTTTAAGGCAGATGAAATTGCTGACCTAGAAAGTGTACACAAAACCTTCACGGCACACATAACTGCTATAAAACACCTCAGTTACTGGAAACGCCTAAAGTTCCTCAACCTGTACTCCCTAGAATGCAGGCGGGAGAGATAAATGATTATATACATGAAAAATCCTAGAGGGATTAGTATCAAACTTGCACACAAAAATCACTCCCTATGAAAGCAAAAGATTCGGCAGACTATGCAACATCCCCTTCCCCCTGGCTGTCTTCAAGCAGGCACTGGACAAGCACCTAAAGTCGGTGCCTGACCGCCCGGGCTGTGGTTCGTACGTTGGGTTGTTTGCGGCTAACAGTAACAGCCTGGTTGATCATGCACTGATACACCATGAGGCCTGGTCACAGACCGGGCCGCGGGGTCACTCTTGGATTTTTCCTCTTTACCCCTCCAGTTAAACCATGGGCTCACTCTGGTCTTTCCATTTTTCCTGTCACCCCTTGGTATGAACTTCTCTTCTACCTCCTTGCACTTTGTGGTCCCTTGATCCCTCTAGTTCTCTTTCCCACTGCACTTTACCATAAAAATCTCCCAATTACCTAAACCTGAAAACTAAAAACAGATGACCAAAGTTCATAAATTACTTAATAAACTACATTGTAGTATAAATACCTACCCAAAACAATACTGCCTAACACCCAATTGTAGAATTATCATTCTGTAAACTACTTTCAACAACTCAAAATGCTATATTCCCATAATATAATTTAATATTTACTATTATATACAAAACCTACAAAATACTTTCAATTTGTCCAAATGTAATGTCCCCAGATTGTAATTTGTGTAAACTTACTGTCTACTATAAATAAAACAGTTGTACAACTTAACAAACTATGATCAGTTTCTCTAGTATTGAGTAGTCTGTAAGCCATTAACTGTAGTCTGCCTATAATGCAAGGCATGATAGTGGCTCCCTTTACACTGCAAATCATTGTTGTAATACATAATCTCAATGTACTCTTGCAAGGAAATAAAAATTTGTATTTGTTGAATCACCTCATTCCTGTTAGTCGCTTTT